AAAAAGCTGGCAGAACAGCGTCCTAGAGTGAAGGGTCAGTTTGTCCGTAGAGTATACACCGATGATCCATTGCCTGCAGAAAGCAACGCCAATACATCCAACGGTTAGGACTCGGTCTAAACTCCTTGAATAAACCTTAATTCTGCCTGATTACTGCCTTAATACTAATAGAAACTGATAAAACAACAAGTCATGGCTATGGAAAGTACAGGAAGCATCTTTTGCATTAGAGCTGTGTTAGTTTTAGAGATCTCATGAGGAACATTCTTTATATTTAACACGTAGAATCATATGTTCATTCCAACTTGTGTATAGGAGTGTTTTTTTTCTTCTTTTTGGTCTGTTAGGACCTACTTCTTCATGGAGTTGAACTGAGTTTGCTTATGTAATTCAATTATATTGAGACCTTAGCAGTCAAATAACAGAACTGAAGCATTCCCTAGTCCACCAAGGCCTGTGCTTGATGATTTCTGTCTTATAGAAACACATTATCCATAGACAAGCTTCATAAGTAACTGGTTTTCGTCTTAAAATGCTAAACCATTCGCCGCTAAGCTTGAAAGCATGCTCAACGCATACGATTAGAAATTTAATGGCAGATCAAAGCATTTCTCATCCTGATTCAACATTCAAAAGAACTCCCCAGGGGACCATTGAATAACTGGAAAAAAATCCGAGCCCGCTTACGAAAAGTCGAAGTCAAAGACTAAAACAAGCATTTTAAAGATACAAAAACAAAGATAATGTAACCCTACAATGTAATAGAACGAAAGTTTAACTTAAGAGTTAAGATACATAATAGGGCAGCTGAGCCAACGAACTACTTATCCATTTTTTCTCTATGAACAATGATTTTGACTATACAAGAACATCGAACATTATCATTGAAAAATAACGAAACTAAAAACAAGAAATTATATTTATAATAAAAATTGACTTAAAACCCAATGGCTTGGCTTAGAAATATAATAACACATTGATTTGGTAGCCATTGATAAGGTCAAAATTTGCTTTCAACATCCTGCGGCTATGGGCATGATGTGATGCCACCAAATGGCTGTTGGACTCATTCCTTTCAATCCTCCCCTTTCCCACATGCCTTTCTTTAGCCCAATCCTTCAATTTTCTGCCCCTTTTGTTTCCTTCTCATCACAAAGTTATGCACATTTTGTGTTCTAATCTCAAAGATTTTTATTTTCCTTAGTATATAAAAAAGTAAAGTTGAATCCACTAATTCTAAAGGTGGGGCTTAGTTGCTTGGGGGTTGGTTTTGATTGAAGGCCTCAAAGCTCTCAATCATAACTTGTGGAAACACATGAAGAGAAAAAGCTCAAAAGTTACAATAAAGTTAACCCCAAAATTTGAAGTCTTTGCCATGGCTATGGTCCACAAAATTTCTACATCAACCCTCAAATATTCTCCACTAAACTTACCCACTCTTTTCAATCAACCCCTAGAACCGTTTCGGGGTTGTGATCAAGTTCAATGATCAAGTTCACCGACCACCATTTACTTGGCTTCGTCGTATCGATATGAAGTTTGTTTAGTCTATATGTTCGAATTTTGAAACTTCATTTTCTTAACATAAGAGAAAATGTTCATCATGGTTGATAGTTCTATACTCTTGAATGGGGAAGAGAGGAAAGAGGTAGCCAAGTTGAGACAATGATCGCTATAGCCACAACCACAACCAATGCACTAACTCGACCTCTTCTTTTTCACCTGAAATCTCTCCAACTAATATGTTCAAATTCTTAAACTCCGTTTCCTTCCCTCAAAAGCAACCACTCATATGACAATGAGATTACCACCATTTCTTCCTGCAAAACAAAGATCTAAAAAGTTACCCTTTTGCTTTAATAATTCACCAATTTGTCAATATCTGCTCTTTGCAATAGTTCGGGCTAACCTGAGCATAGTTACATGACACCTGAAGGATATCTCTTTATTTAGAATCAGAGGTTCAAATTTTCATACTTTACTTTTTATTGTACCGATAAGTAAAGACTACCCTACGTGTCTGGTAGTTTCATTGTCCATAAACCATGCATTCCCAATAAAAACGAGCACGAGCCCACAAATGATGGATGTTTTGGCGTTTTTTTCCCATTGTAGCATTGTGTAGAAAGCATCTAAACCTCTTTCAACAATAAATTCACCAAGTAAATTAATTATCTTTGCTAAAGCTAACCTATAATTTCACATCATCTTTGTTTCAATTACTTTTGTACATGATTGAGGACAGTGGCCCCAAGATTTTGTACTCACATTACTTTTTGCCTTGCTTCTAACATAAAACTACTACAAAGCTTTTTAAAGCAATTAGCTTCTCCCAAGAAAGATCTATCTTGATGATGGTCTTTTAATTGGCTTGTGTTTAGTTCTTCTTACAGGTGAAATTTAAAGCTATATTGGACCCACTAACTCGAATAAGGCCTCTAACAAAAACCGAGCTGAGGAGCTACGAACAAAGCACATAAGACAAACAATCTATTGAACCCGATCTGATCTGAGTCGAGGTATACGTTGCCCATTTCTTTAACTTCTACTTGTAACAACTCAAACCCACCGTTAACAAATATTATCCTCTTAGAGTTTTCCCTTCGAAGTTTTTAAATATGTTTGCTATGAGGAGGTTTTCACACCCTTATAAATAATGTTTCGTTCCCTTCTCCAACTGATATGAGATCTCACATTCCACTCCTTTCGAGGCCTAGTGTCATTGCTGACACTCGTTTTTCTCTCCAATTCATGTAGGATCTCACACTACTATCAATATCTACACGATCTTTACCATGATCACGAGACATTCTATCCACACATTTGATACGTAATTATTGAAGTAAAAAGTTAGGTTGGCGAAGGTTTACATGTGTGAGTTTGGGTGTGGCTGTGTGTGTGTATGGGCATGCGTGCCAGCCACCCCAACGCCCACTAGCTGAAGTTGGCAGTCAAAAGCAAGACGTCCAAAAGTCTTCGTTAATTATTGCTACCCTTTTTGTTTGTGTGGCTACCCCACACCATCCCTCCTCCTTTATTTACTTACCTCTTCACCTCTCAGGACACCCAAATCCCATTGAATATCCCTTCCCTCTGTTCTCCCCTGCCAATTAAATGTCTCGAGAAGACGTGAAATCCCCCAAACACTGCGCCAATAAGCAACAATTGAAGCTCGACAAGCGCTACAAGAAGCTGTTCCTCGCAGCATCAGCAACCTTATCCACAATTTCTCTGCTCATCCTCCTCCTCTGGCTCATTCTCCGCCCATCCAAGCCAGAGTTCGCCCTACGCCAGGCGGATGTCTACCAGCTCAACCTCATAGACCTTCACCTCCTCAACTCCTCCATTCAGCTCACCCTCTCATCCAAAAACCCAAATAAAAAAATGGGTATCTTCTACGACCAGCTTCAAGTATACGCCGCTTACAAAGGGCAACAGATAACCATGGGCACTTCCCTCCCAGGCTTCTACCAGGGGCAAGAAGAAAGCAATTTGTTGACGGCTTTCTTGGCTGGCAGCAGCGTGCCGGTGGCGCCGTCGTTTGGGTATGAAGTAGGGCGTGATCAGAGCGCTGGGAGGTTCGTGCTCAAAATCAAAGCCATGGGGCGGCTGCGATGGAAGCTGGGGAGCTGGGTTTCTGGGCGCTACCGATTTAATGTGGATTGTGTGGCGGTGATGCCTTTTGGGCCTACGCTCCCGACGGCTCCCCTCACTTTGAGCCAACCCACTCGCTGCTCCACAACGCTTTGAGTTCGTCATATCCCTCCTTGTTCTTCCCCTAATTGCATTGCTTTTATGCTATATTATGGACTTTGTTACCAATCGCTTGCTCTGTATATTACTTAGAAATTGAAATATATTTGTAATCAGCCGATTATACCAGCACTAATACACTAAATTCTACTCTTTCATAATTAGACGTACTTGGCCACCCGTAATCTTAAACGGAGAGTATATAGTTAAGCGAGCTTGGATAGAGTAATCTTAAACGGAGTGCTTTCTTGGATCTAATTTTGAAGATCGAAGAGCTCAATTCTTCCATCGACTCGGTTTAGGATAATTGAGCGACCGACAGAGTGAGTCCTCGGTTTCTAGGTTTGAGAAAAGCTAATGGGTTGGTGGGTACCATGGATTTGAGAAAGTAAGACAGCTTTTTTTCAAATTTCAAAAAGGTTGGAGAAGTTTATGGTGAATAAAATGACTAATATTTGATTTTAAATAAGCTATAATAGAAAATTATTTTATTTTTCCATTACCTATACCTAAAAAATAAATACATTTATAATTTAATACTAAAATAATATTTAATATCTAATTTATTTTAAGATAGTTATATAAATTTTATATGATTTAAATAACAATTGTTACAAAACTTTTAGTTAAAAAGAAAATATAAAATAATATAATTAATTTTTTTTGAAATAATGTTAAAAAATAGAAGATTTTTTTGGAAAACTTATTTAACAAAATATTTTAGATAAATTATTAATTTAAGATTCTTCCTATAGATTTAGTGGAAAATATTCCTTTTCTTTTATATTTTATAATTTTCACATTTTTAATTCAATGAAATAGGAAGCAAGAAAATTAATTGATACAATTTTGAAACAATGTTAACAAATTAAACTGAGTTTAATTCGATTAGGAGTTTTTTTGGGTTCGGTTAGGTTAATTTTTTAAAAAATAAAAAATATGAACTCGATTTTCATGCCCTTTTTCAACTCGTTTGTGAGATCCCAGGTTGGTTGGAGAGAGAAACGAAATATTACAAATAGATCTATTTTAAAACTTCGAAGAAAAGTTCAAAAAAGATAATATATATATATATATATATTATATATATATATATATTTGAAATATTTAATGAAAATGGGCCATAAATGGGCTGAAAAGAGGTGGGCTCAGAATTAGCCCAATATTGATTAGAGATTTGGAACCCTGAAAGGAGATTATAGGTAACGCTATTTATACGATTACCGAAGCTTCTTCTCCACGTAGTCTCTATTTGTTTCTCATGCCATTTCCTATTTCCGCCTTTTCAACTTATCTATTCATTAAGAACAATGCCGTCTGCTCCCGTCGCCGACTCCACCGAGCCTGAGAAGGAGGCCGTCCAAATCTCGTCGTCTGCAGCCGAATTAGAGAAGAAGCTTCAGGTTCTCCAATTCTTATCCCCGGATTCTGTTTTTCTCTTACTCGGTTCTTGTTTTTTCTAAATGCATTTTTGCAGTTCGATGACAAACCGATTGTTGAAGACGTTGAGGATGACGACGATGACGATGACGACGAGGATGATGATGATGGAAAGGAGAACGGGGCTCTTGGTGAGTTACTTTCTTCTCTTCTTTTACCTTTCTTACGTTATTTTTCGCCGAGTCTGATTCCCTGGATTATGAAATTAGTTATGAAATACAATGCAATTCTGCCGTTTTTCAAATTTTTGTCTGAGAAAAAGCAATGCAGATAGATGAATGGATGGAGCCTAATCTTCAAATTCTTTCTCCTAATCTTCAAATTCTTTCTCCTAATCTTCAAATTCTTTCTGCCTCTTCATATTTCTGCTACTAAACGCATTTTGAAACCTGAATTTTTGGATGTTAAATTAGGTTTCTGTGATTAACTGAGGTGTAGATTGTTTTGATTTTTATTATAAGCGTTGTAACCTCGTCTATTTGGTGCCAAATTTCTGTTTTATAATTGGACATTGTCTATAACATTTACATGATACCATTTATAGTTTGAATAGATACTTGACATGAATACTCTTTCTGTCAGTAACTACGTTCTTAATCTCTGCTTCAACCTTCCATGTCATTTAAACTTAACTTATGGATCATCCAAGTCCAAGTTGTGTAGAGTTTGTTGTTTTGGACTGCTAGTTTCAGATTTCAGGTTCCAGATAATGGAATGTAATTTCTGGGAGGTTGAATCAATTTTGTTTGTTTGTTTGTTTGTTTGTATTAGACGGAGGCTCAAATGAGAGTTCAAAGCAGAGCAGGAGTGAAAAGAAGAGTCGCAAGGCGATGCTGAAGCTGGGTATGAAACCAGTTACTGGTGTTAGCAGAGTCACCATTAAAAGAACCAAGAACGTAAGCTTAAGCTTGTATCTCCATCTCCCCATGTGTTGGTCTATTTGTTTCTGTGTTACAAACTAATTTCCATGGCATTCACATTCAGATATTGTTTTTCATATCAAAACCTGATGTGTTCAAAAGTCCAAACTCTGAGACGTATGTGATATTTGGAGAGGCAAAGATAGAGGATTTGAGTTCTCAGTTGCAGACACAAGCTGCCCAGCAATTCAAGATGCCAGACATGGGACAGGTGATGGGAGGAAAATCAGAGATTTCTGGCAGTAGTGCAGCTGGAGCATTGGTTGAAGAGGAAGAGGAAGAGATTGATGAATCTGGGGTGGAGGACAGGGACATTGATTTGGTAATGACACAGGCTGGGGTGTCCAGAACCAAGGCCGTCAAGGCCCTCAAGACTCACGACGGAGACATTGTCAGCGCCATAATGGAGCTCACAACTTGAGTTGATTAGTCTCTCCAATCCGCTCTCTTCCTTGCTTTGGTGATTCATGAGTTCTTAATTTTCTTGCTACCTTTCTAGTTGGACTATGAGTTCCAAGTTTTTGTACGTTTTTTTGGTTGCCTTCTGCTTTAATTCTTCAAATTCCATTCATTAAGACTTCTTCATGTTGACTTGTTTTCGTTGTTAGACCAATTGGATCGGTTTTTTTCTTTCTTATTGTTCTTTTATGGAGAGGGTATGCCTCTGTAGATGCTTTTGAGTTGGACAACAGTGGTCTTCGTCTTTGGTATAGCCAAAATTATTGAACAAAGCTACCTCAATTTAATCACAGGCAATTCCAAGGAGGAAAATCTTTACTATTCCAAGGGAAAAATCTTTTACTAGCGATGGACTTAACTGTTTCAAAAGGTATCAGTGCTAGACATCATGTGATGTATCTAGACATTGAGTGGTGTGTCAACAAGACATCTCTAAAGGGGTAGATTATCGGGTGGGTCTCTAAAGAGGTTGAGTGGTGTGTCAACAAGACGTCGGGTCTCTAAAGGGTGGATTGTTGCTTCACATTCCTTTTTGATATTTCAAATAAGATTGAGGTTTTTTTTTAGAAGACAAATAATATGGAAAAATTATATCATAAACTATTTGAAAATTTTAATATATTTTTAAAAAGTATATATTGGACTAAGTTGTTACTTAAAAAGTTTTCGGACAATATTTTTTTTTTTTTTTTTGACATTATATATATTATTATTATTATTATTATTATTATTATTGAGAAGGTGATTTCTGACTTTCTTCTCGAATAAAAAATAGCCTTTTTGACCTTTTGTGTGAATATGTCACATACTACATATACATACATATACATACATATACACATATATGTACATATGTATGTATAAATATATAATATTAAATTAGGGCAGGCTTGGGATTCTAAAGCTGAATAAGAACAAAAGTAATACATATTTGTTATCCATCCACCGCTCTCTGGATCCGGCTCGAAGCTTCAATTTTCTGCGAAGCAAACTGTCGCGGGACGATAGAGGAGGCAACGGAGAAGAGATAAAGGCTCCAATTGGCTTATCATAGATGGAGCAGGGGAACCAGGGAGTGGTAGTTAAATTGAGCCCTCCACAGAACCCATTGGAGCAGGTTCAGGCTCGTTTCAAGGAACTTGAAAATGGGTTCAGAACATGGTTGGCCAAGCAGTCTCTCCCCGTTGAGGCCGCTGTTGTCACCGCCACCAGCGCCGCACAGGGCGCTGCTATTGGTGGCTTTATGGGCGTTCTCACCAACGACGTTTCTTCGTCTCTGCCCACTCCTCAAGCCGGCCTCAACCCTCAAGCCATGGCCTCTTTCAAGCAGGCACAGGTCCTATTTTGGTTCCCCCTATTCATTGTTTGATTTTATAATTTTTCCCGATTGAAATGTGAAAACTGTCTTATTTGTTGAAATTCTGTAGTTTTATGAACAAAAGTGGAATTTGGGGGAGCTGATTCTTGTAGTTTTCTTATGAATTGCAGGCTCTTGCTGGAGGTCCCTTGGTGCAAGCTCGCAACTTCGCTGTGATGACCGGTGTTAATGCAGGCATATCTTCTGTTATGAAGAGATTGAGAGGCAAGGAGGATGTTCAGTCAAGGTAAGGTTTTACGAAGTCTCCGCCGTTTCCTTTTCCTTGTTGATTATTTTCCGTGAGATCATACATCGAATGGGGAGGAGAACGAAACACTCTTTGTAAGGGTGTGGAAACCTCTCTTTAGCATATGCGTTTTAAAAACTTGTGGGGAAGTCCAAAAAGGAAAGTTCAAAGAGAACAATATCTCTAGCGGTGAGATTGGGCAGTTACCAATGGAATTAGAGCCAACCGGGTGATCGTGTCCGTGAGGAGGTTGAGCCCCAAAGTGGTGGACATGAGACGGTGTGCTAGCAAGGACACTGGGCCCCGAAGGGGGTGGATTGTGAGATCCCACATCGGTTGGGGAGGAAAACGAAGTCATTCTTTACAAGGGTGTGGAAATTTCTGCCTAGAAAATGCGTTTTAAAAACCTTGAGGGGAAGCCAAAGAGAACAATATCTCTGCGGTGAGCTTGGGCTGTTGGAAATGGTATTAGAGCCATACACTGTGCGACGTGTTAGCAAGGAGGTTGAGCTCTAAAGGGGGTGGACAACGACGCTGGCCTTGAAGGGGATGGATTAGGGTGTCCAACATTGATTGGAGAAAGGAATGAGTGCTGGCGAGAATGTTGGGCCCTTAAGGGGGTGGATTAGGGTGTCCAAACATTGATTGGAGAAAGAAATGAGTGCTGGCGAGAATGTTGGGCCTGAAGGGGGTGAATTGTGAGATCTCACATCGGTTGGGGAGGAGAACGAAACATTCTTTATATGAGTGTGGAAACCTCTCCCTAGCAGATGCATTTTAAAAACCTTGAGGGGAAACCCAAAGAGAACAATATCTACTAGCGGTGAGTTTGAGCCGTTATAAGTGGTATTAGAGCTAGACACCCGACGATGTGCCAGCGAGGAGGCTGAACCCCAAAGGGGGGTAGACACGAGGTGGTGTGTCAGCGTCGCTCCGAAGGGGATGGATTCGGAGCTGGATTGGGACCAGTAGATTTCAACTCATTTTCTTTGTGTTAAAGATTCAGATTTGAGTTAGAAGTTGGGAGGTTGATGAGAGATTTCATTTGAGAATGGGCTGATAAGAAGGGAGAGTTTCATTTGGTGAGTTGATTATGGTGTCTAGACCGTTGGATCTCAAGGGTTTTTAAAATCTTAATGGTGTGTTTGAAGGCTTGGATCGTGTTGTTTGGGATTATTAGTGTAATGACCCATGTCTAGAATTTGGAACTTGGTTTAGGCACTTGATGGCCTCGACATTTCCTTGCATTCCCTACGATATGGTCATGTTCTCGCTTCTAAGAGTGAAGATTATCCTTACAGACCAACATGAGTTCTTCCAGCATGTTTTATCCTCACTAACATACATCCTAGGAAAATTTTCAAGAGGTCACCCAACATAGAATTTCTCATAGCAAAGTACGCTTAACCATGAAGTTCCTATGATAGAGCCACAAAAAAGGAAGGTGCACCTTGTTGGTATAAGTAGTAATGTTCATTTCCTTCATCCTATCCGCAGGATTGCTCTCATTTAGTCTCAGTTGATTCATGTACCCCTCTTTTACTCTGGTGTCACATGCCCACCAGCTTTCGCCTTGGTTCGTCCCAAAACCACATCTTACAGGGAGAGGTATCGCTTTGATACCATTTGTAACGACCCATGACCAAGATTCAGATCAAGATTCGAAATCCAGATTTGACACTTGATGGCCCCGACATTTCCCGACGACATGGTTTTGGTACTTCCTGTCTTTAAGAGAGAAGATTATCCCCTTGTGCTAGGCTGACTTCCTTGTTACGTTTTGGGGTCTGTGATTTGAAATAAACAACAGTGTTTAGGGACGCGGAGAGGTGCTGGGAGTAGGTTCGGTCATATCTGAAGTCTAACGCCACTGTTTGGGCGTCAGTCTCGAAGGATCTTTATGGTTACCCATTCGGTTTCATCACGCGGAATTGGAGCCATTTTTTGTATAGCTAGTTTCTTGCCTCCTTTTAGAAACTAATTTTATCAGTAGCCTATAATAAATATCAAAAGGGGCATATTAGTTTGTTTCCATGTTGCATATAGTAACCTCTTGGTTCTATTTAGACTGCTTGTTTGTTCCTGAACTCGGCCACTACGATTTTACTTGCTAGCATGGTGGCTGCTTTTGGATCTGGGGCCATGTTTTCATTGGTGAGCGGAATGGGAGGCCCGAATCAGGTGGCAAACGCCGTCACCTCGGGTCTTTTTTTCTCGCTCGTTCAAGGTGGACTTTTCAAGGTATGCATCAATAACAACTGTTCTATTATTCTGATAAATTTCAAGCATTTCAAGCACGTCCTCGGCTGTTCCTTTGTTCTTATACCAAAATTTGGAACTTGTTTAAGAATTAATGGTGTTTTGCAGTTAGGGGAAAAGTATTCTAAGCCACCTGCGGAAGACGTGTTCTACGCTAAAACACGAAGCATGTTGAGTAACCTTGGCCTACAGAGCTATGAGAAGAATTTCAAGAAAGGGTTATTGACTGATAGCACATTGCCTCTGCTCACTGATAGGCATGTATATTGAATTCATGTTTTCATACTTATGGTTATAATCAATGCATTGGCTAAGTATACCCTTCTACTTTGACGTGTGCCAGTGCGCTTAGAGACGTTAAGATCCCCCCGGGACCGAGGCTTTTGATTCTTGATCACATTCAGAGGTTTTAATCGAGCTCTATAACGAATTTCTTGTTGCTTCCATTGTTCTATGTCATCTCGTTTATGGCTAACTTTTGATTTCAGGAACGCCGAGCTACGAGAGAGATGAAGCGGGTTTAGTGAGCAGCTTGTCCCAAGAACTCTTTGTAGGTGAACTTGAGGAGGTAGGGAAGTGGTTAGTTCATCTTGAATAGGAAGAATATGTTTGATAAATAGGACTTTTTTGTCGTTTGAATTTGCACCAAATGCACCTTTGATTTGATTGTTGTTGTGGATGGCTGAACCATGGCTTTGTTTATTAATGAATGATGGAACAACTTGGTTTGGTTGGCATATTGACGAAAAATTTGTATTGTTAAAAATACGTTGGGCCTATAAGACAAAGAGAGGTGAATCTGGGTGTGGTGCTAAACCACCATAACTCCGACTATCAACTGACCCGTATGAGATGTGTCATATTGACCGACCTTAAAGGGGTCAAGAGGTCAGTCATTCGAACTTCTGTTGGTTGGTTGGGACTCATCTTTGGTCAAGACTCGTGATGGTTGAACTATCAAGTTCGATTAATTTTTGGATTTGTTTTTCAGTCTTTGGTCAGTTTCATCTTTGGTTAATGCTCGTGATAGTTAGCATTATCGAGTTCGACCAATCTTTGGATTTGTTTCTCGGTCTTTAAAGTTTTACTTTAGATGGGTTCTCGGCCCAATCAATAGCTCATCTTTCTCCGCTCTAAATTGCGGTACCATTTCTTTTTCCTCGTGTTCTTTCTTTTTTTCCAAGATATATGTGAACGAATCCAAATTATATGATGAATTTTCCAAGGGTTTATATTGCAACCATTACACACAGACTTTTTGTGGTGCTACTTAAACCAAGTGGACGTGTTTGTTTGGCTCTATTATTTCGTCCATTTTGCTTCCATTTTTCAACTCATAATGGGAATCAAATTTATGGTGTTAGTTTTCTTTTCGTCCACGCCACGGTTGGGATTGAGACTTATCGACCCAGGAAATGAACAACAAGAATGACAAAAAAAAAAAAAATCAAATCATGAACTATCATTTAATATTTAAAAAAATTAATTCATTTTTAATTAATTTTACTTTTAATAACAATTTTGAAAGTGAATTACTTTCCAAATGTAATATTTATACAATTAAAACACATTTTAACCCATTTACATGAAATTAATACGTATCGTATATTTACATTAATTAAAAGCTTAAACAATGTCACAATTTTAAGTGATTTCAAGAATTATAAACAGATTAATTTGATTGAAATTTGAGCTTTTAGCTTATTTGAAATTCATCCAAATTTTAAAATGACCAATTCTTATTTAAGGAGGAAGAACAGAAATTTTTGGATTTACAACCCAAGCAGCGGATCAAACCACATACATATCTACTACTAAAATTGGCGCTTCAATAAAACATCAAGCCAAACAAAAAGGAAAAAAACTCGATGATCAAAATCAATCACTGCTTCGAATACGCAAATCTAGACAGAGGCAGACTGGAGTTGCGGTTGTTGCAGTCGGATTTGCAGCAGTTTCTGAGCCTGCGAGAGCTGGTTCATCAGCGCCGCGATTTGGTGGTGGTAATCGCGGGCCTGCGTAAGCGCCTCCGCCTCGAGTTCTCCGAGTTGAGAGGACAGCCTCTCTTCGGCCTCCTCGGCGACCTTGAGCCTCTGGCAGGCTCTTTGTAGCTGCTGCCGCATCACCTGCTCTCTTTCGCGGCTCGCCTGAAGCTCCTTCTCAAGCTCCTCGTTCCTCCGCCTGATGGCCAGATCGGATCCGTCGTCTTGCTTGAACGTTTTCAGAATCCCCATTGTGACCCGAAATGGCTCTGGGTTTTCTGGAGTGCTGCGATTTGGGCCTCTGTTTGTTGTAGGTGCTCTTAAAGGCGATCAAGGGGGTGTCCAGATTCAATGAATCCGCTCCATTTCTTTCCCGAATTTTCCTAGCCTCTCTCTTCTTTTGTTTTGACATTATCTCGTTGTATGCTTCGCTCATGGAAGTCGTTTTCTCCACTTTACAAGATTCGGCATATTCTACTTTTAAAAATGCTTAATAAATCAAACCAATGACACCGACGCCAATTGCCTCACCATTACTTCAAATATTTATTTTTCTTTTTTAAATTTTGTCCTACTTCTAAAAATATCTCATACATTTTTTAAATTTTTAATTATGGGTAAAAAATAGTAGGTTTATGATAAAAATTTCAAAACTAAATTTATAATTTTAAAATTTTAGAAACTAATCGAGATTTGATGTGTATTCGAATCATAGGGGCTAGTAATCGATGATATGCTCATATTAGTGACGTTATTGTTGCTGTAATCAAGAAAGTCGTCCCAAAGACACCTCTAGAAAAATAAAAAACGGTATGATAATATGATATGATGACAATGCTGCCGTTGTTATTGATTAAGGAAATTCAAAAGGAACTCGAATTTTTGGTGCGATTGCCCGAGAATTGAGACAGTTAAATTTCACTAAAATAATTTTATGTTAAAAATTTAGGAACTAAACCAATACAAATGCTATATTTCAAGAATTTTATTTTTTATTTAACTTTATAATATTTACCGATCATTTGAAAAAAAAAATGAAAACTTCTTGCCAACTATTATCCACAGTTACTGTTTTTAGAATTTATAGTGTTTATGAGACGAAAAGGAGATTTTCACATGGAACAATCAAAGAAGTGCTGCCAATGCTCTAGATGACCATACTAGTGAAGTTAATTGGGCTAATGAACGAACATGAGCACATGGAACAATCAAAGAAGTGCTGCCAATGCTCTAGATGACCATACTAGTGAAGTTAATTGGGCTAATGAACAAACATGAGCTCGGCTAGGAGTAGTAAAAAATCATTCTTTACTAAGGGTACGTAATATAACTCTAGCTTGCATTTGATTAAGTACTAACTTAAGGTTGAGCACCACATCAGTGTGAGATTCCATTTGAAGATTAACACCTTAGCTAACTAGAGCTCACCTCGAATAACACATAAGTACATCAATAACTATACATTTTGGAACCTCGAAGAACACTAACCACATAAGAGGTGTGAAAAAAGACTCATGCGTCGTCCTTCTAGGGAGAAGACTGCAAAGAAGACCTCAACCAATTGCACGTCAAAGAAAAGGATGACGACGATCACCCTCTAAAGAGGCGAAATGATACCATGTTAAATCACTACTAAACCTAGGACACAGTAAAATTTATTACATCAATACGACTCAAAATCTAAACATGCATTGCAAATAAACTTCCTAAACTTATACCCTAAACACACACTTCCTAAACTCAAAACATTAAATTGGCAACAAATGTTTATAACCAAGACACTTTGGTCATATTGGTTATGAAAATATTAGATGCAGGAAGAAATAAGAATATCATTCAGATGGCAGCTTAAAAACAAGCATGGAATGACTTTGAACCAACTGGATGCTTGCCAAACTCAAGCAGATCTCCAGCACTGAGATTCACCTTGGCCTCAAGGCGAATCTCTATTCATTAAGAGTTGATGAACAAAGGAAGATTATAGATTAGTGGAATAGCACCACTGTCCCCAATGGAACTCCAGTGATCCTTCTTCAACAAACAAAGCCAGAACGATAGTAAAGAGATCCTCCTCAACAGAAAAATGAGGGAAAACCCTCCACCCTTTTGCCACTTCTGTTTGGATACTCCGACCTCTCCTCCCATCTCTTTACCTACCCTACCCTACCCCTACTAATTCTTATTCACAGTTCCTGTCAGTCTTGTAAGCATTCGCCCTGTCGCCTCTTGTCTCTCAGCAGTTGGTTAACTCCTTCCAGGATTTTCATTTTGCTACTACAGCAGCTTATTTCCATTGTGTTCTCCATCTTATTCCCACTTGGATAGGAGCAAGTCCTGATACCAATTAATATTATAATTAATATTGAGATATATATATATACATAAATACATCCATACATACAAATATTTTACAAATGATTATAGATATAGTAAGAGTGATATGTAATGTATCATGTTGAAATATGCAAGAGAAACATACTTCTTATATAATTCTTAACTAACTCCCTTAAATGGCCCACCTATTATTCCCTTTCAAAATATGCTCATCTCCAATGTCACTATGCACGCTACGCACTCCTGCCTTTTTTCTAACGTATGTAGACTTTTTCCTAAAATATTGAACAAGATGAGGAGCACTGAGTTCGATTCAAATATGGCAACAGGTTATTCTGTTAAATTAATTGTAGATCCTCCCAATAGTATAGCTCAAGTTGATTAGGTAACATCTAGACTGTTGTTAGTCTCTTGCTATTATCATTGTTTGAAAGATAGAAAAAAATGATGTTGAAAAACAGAACAAAATGCACAGGTCATTCAAGGGATAACTAACTTCACTACTACCTCACTACTATTCCCTCCCCTACATATTAGGGATAACTAACTTCTCAGGGGCGTACTTTCCTTCTTACCCCACCTAGCATATTCATCAGTGATATTCCCCATTTTAACCTTCTTCCGAGTATACACAACAGTTGAGGGGTCTATCATTCGCCCATATGCATTAGATATGTAAAGGTCACAAGGGGAGTGAGGAAGTTGTTCCCCTTAGTTACTTCTGTTTCTATTGGTTGGATAGGCAATGAGGATTTGGATGTTAACCATGGTTATAGAGGCTTGTATTTGATGCATTGAGAGTGGATGGGAAGGGCGGCAGAATACAAGCTGTATTTGGAGAGCAACTTCTCGAACTATCTAAAAGTGTTTGTAATTCATAGTGATCAGAAATGAAATAGGAATTGAAGCAGACCTTATGTAAGTAACTAACAATATCTAACACCCTTCTTTATCTACATCTTTATGAGTTAATAGATTTTTCCTTTAACAAATAATAATACTAAATTTCAAAATATTAAGGGTATGTTCATTACAGAAAAGCTCATGAGCATAAATAAACATATATCCCAACCCTTGAGACACCATCCTTTCTAGAGAAGGAAAATCCTAGACATGGTCAAAATTTTCTAAGCTGTATCTACAAACGATGAAAATTCATTCAAAACCAATGCAATTGGAAATTCGTAGCAACCTACTATGCTCAAGAATAAACAAAGTTACAGGTTACCGTCAGCTGACGAACACGTGGAAGAAAATCCTCAGCAGTAAAAAGATCGACATGAGTGTTCCTCCCATCAGAAAAGCTCGAAGAACTTTTTCCTTGTTTCTCGGGCTCATTGAGGTGAGCTGGAAGATAATTATCTCCAAAATAGATTCACCATCCAAATAATATACCTACAAAAATACACAACTAGTAGTAATC